ATTTATATTTATATTTATATTTATATTTATATTTATATTTATATTTATATTTATATTTATAAATATAAATTAATATATTTTTGTTTAGTTAAATAAACAATCTTACAAACCTCCCTTAGGGTTTAGGGTTTAGGGTTTAGGGTTTAGGGTTTAGGGTTTAGGGTTTAGGCGTCTGCGGGCTGCCGATACACCTGAACGTTATAAGCTACCCACAGCCTTCAGCTGCAGCAGCAGCAGCAGCTATAGCAGCAGCAGCAGCAGCCACAGCAGCCGCAGCAGCACTAGCAGCAGCGCCAGCAGCAGCAACAGCAGCAGAGGCAGCTAGGTCGTGCATAAGCACTGGGTTTGCTGCTGCAGCAGCAGCAGCAGCAGCTGCTGCTGCTGCTGCTGTTGCTGACAGCAGCAGCAATATAATTTGTTTCTATTTAAGTATATTAATGTAAATATTTAATTTTCCGTTTATTATAAATAAATAAAGGCAGAGCAAACTGTCTCCCCCGTGAACTCTGCTGCTGCTGCTGCTGTTGCTGCTGCTGTTGCTGCTGCTGTTGCTGCTGCTGTTGCTGCTGCGGCTGCCAGTGCAGCAGCGGACTCTGCGGTGCCTGCTGCAGCGGTTGCTGGCGCAGCAGCTTCTGCTGAAGCTGCTGTTGCTGCAGTTGCGTCTGCTGCTCTGTGAGTTGCTGCAGCTGTCGGCGTTGCTGCTGCTGCTGCTGCTGCTGCTGCAGCAGCAGCAGCAGGAGAGCAGGAGAAACAAACCCGTTTGCTGCTGTGGGGTTTTATAACAACAAATGAGAGAAAAGAAAAAATAATAAAATAGGTGCTGCGTGATGTTCTTCTTGGGTTTGCTTCTGCTGCAGCTGATGATGCTGTTGCTGCTGCTGCCCCTGCTACAGCTGCTGCTGTTGCCGCAGCAGCAGGAGCAGCAGCGGCAGCTGCTGTTGCTGCTGCTGCTTTCCTTGCTCGTGAGTGAGAAAGGGGAATAGCGTCTTGCTGCTGAGCACGCAGCAGCAGAGCTGCTGCTGTTGCTGCTGCTGCTGCTGTTGCTGCTGTTGCTGCTGTTGCGGTTGCTGTTGCTTTTGCTGTCAATGCTGCTGCTGTTGCTGTTGCTGCTGCCGCTGCTGTTGCTGCTCCTGCACTGGCTGCTGCTGCAACCGCCTAGGCTCTAGGGCGCACATGAAGCTGCTGCTGCTGTAGGGGCCCCCTTCTGCGCCGTTGCTGCAGCACCAACACTTCTCGCTGCTGCTGCTGCTGCTGCTGCTGCTGCTGCTGCTGCTGCTGGGGATGATGGTGCTGCTGTTGCACGAACACGTTTTGCTGGTACTGTTGCTGCAGTAGCTGCTGCTGGTGTTCCTGCTGCAGCAGCAGCAACTGCTGGTGCTGCGCTAGCTGCTGATGGTATTCCTGCTGTAGTAGCAGCAGCTGCTGCTGCTGCAGTAGCTGCTGCTGATACTCCTGCTGCAGCAGCTGCTGCTGGTACTCCTGCCGCAGTAGCTGCTGCTGGTACTCCTGCTGCAGTAGCTGCTGCTGGTGCTGCTGCTGCACTATCTGCTCCTGGTGATGCTGCTGCAGTAGCTGCTGCTCCTGCTGCTCCTGCTGCTGCTGCTGCTGCTGCTGCTGCTGCTGGCTTTGCTGCCTTCTGTTTGTGTGCCCACCCCCGAGGTCATCT